ACGCTGAAATGGGGGTAAAACGCTGAAATGGGGGTAAAACGCTGAAATGGGGGATAAAACGAAATGGGGATAAAACGCTGAAATGGGGGATAAAACGCTGAAATGGGGGTAAAACGCTGAAATGGGGGTAAAACGCTGAAATGGGGGTAAAACGCTGAAATGGGGATAAAACGCTGAAGTGGGGAAATTTAATCGAATTCGTTCTTTGCTAGACCATTGCGAACGGCAATTGCTAGATAGTTTACTTCTAAATAAGGTTTCCGTTTTTATATCAATTTTTATAATAAGTTGGGGTTAGGTTAACACCGCGGAAAAACGTCTGCGCATGCGTCAACCTTACCTGTAATAGTATTGCGAACTTGATGAGAAGCTGTTCCGAACATTTCCGAAGGCTCAAAATGGCGGTAAAAAGGACTTCATGTGACTTCATTGTGTGTCTTTACAGCCAGATTTCAAGCGCAAAAATAAACATGTCATTCTAAAAACTAGAAATAAATGCAGCCAGAAGGTTCAAGAAATTGTATTGTACAAGAACATGAACTAAAGGTGATTGTTGACAAATTTATCGTCTGAAACATTTTGTTTATCAACAAAGCAATGAAAATTTCCGAATTTTCGTTTCAGATACATTTCTTTAATTAAAAAAAAACTATGTCGCCAAATATAAAAAATTTGCGTGTTCACAATAATTAAACTTTAGGATTTATTCTACAATTTGAGTGGGTTAAGAAGCTTAACTTTTCGAGAGTTTTCTTAACTTTTGAGTTTGAATTTTTGTTTTGAATAATTTTGCAAAAATTTCCGAAGTCGTGTCCGTTAAAATAAACAATTTTTTACATGAATTATATTTCAATCCATACTTTAAATGCCAGGACGCTTTCAACTAATGTCTAGTCTACCCATTTGCTATATTTTCTCGTTTGTTTTACTAATTTTGACCAATTAATACGCATGTTTTTGTTTTAAAAATTGATATTCTAATTCCCTGCCATATTTTCATAATTTGGTGCATGCGCAGACGTTTTTCCGCGGTGTTGGTTAGGTTAGGGTTTAGGTTAGGGTTAGGTTAGGGTTACTGGGTAAGGGTTAGTATTAGGGTTAGGGTTTAGTTTTATGTTAGGATAGTTTTTTCTACGTTATATGACGTCAATGCAACAGCCAGTTTATGCACCTCGGTCAGCATCAGCAACGCCACAAGGATCCCAACAGGTCCCATTACCTACCGCTGTCAATCCTCCAGTAGGAACATTTGTTCTTAGTCTTTTGCAGTGTTGTCCTCCTTTAGTTCGCACCTGTTTTGGGTGTTCCCAATCGTTAAAACTCGGCGGGATTATCGCAAGTCCACCGTATGATTTGACGATTATTACACGTATGAATAGAGGTTTTCCTAACCCTAATACTCCTGATGGACAGTTGATGGTCAAAGAACAAAATGTATATGTCCATGTAAATTTGAGTTGCCTCAAGATGAAGCAGCCATATTTTAACCCTGCCTGCATAACTGTATTTTGCGCCCTCGTGGTGAAGGTGGCGTGAAATTTATTGTAAGAATAAGCGAAAATTATACCCTGTGCCATGCAAATTTAAATACAACTATTAAAGGTTTATGTTTTATAATATTCCATTGCAGTTTAATACTATAATGTTATTAAATGACTATGATTATATGCCATTAAAAGTTTAATTAACTTTTACAGTCGATTTCACGAAACTTTGACCACAAATTTTCCGAACTTCGTTGCGAAGTTCACAAGATTGTTGCGAAGTTCAAAAGTTCATAAATATGAGATTCACAAACCAGATCGTAAACTACGCATTTGATTGGCTTCTTTTACTTCACGGACCAATCAGGGACTTTGTTTACAAATTGGCTTGTGAATTCCAATATGAGCTTCCAAACTTCGCAACGAAGTTCGGAACATTTGTGGTCAAAGTTTCGTGAAATCGACTGTAAAATCGTCCCTGGGGTGGGGCATTTTCCACTCTCAGCTTGCTCAGGGGCCGTGCATTAGTCTTCAAGTTTTGTCCCGGCACCCGGGCATTTACACTATCATAACCAATCAAATCAAATGCCCGGGTGTGTTCCGGGGGGGAGGGGTTGGTTACTCTTGGAATTGACTCATGCATTATTGCAAAATGGTGGGGCATTTGACCAATATTTATTGCCCAACGGTGGGACATTTGATTGAAAATTTGCTCAAAAAATCAAATGCCCCCACTTATGCGCAACCCTCCCCCCTCTGGGGCTTAACATTGATAGGTGCATAACAAAACCAATACATGTAATTTATCACAAATGTCACATAAACAGAATTCAACCGCACGCTATGAACTGTCTTTGGTTCTAAACTTTGGCTTGTTTACACAGAGTTAGAATATTGCCCTAGTAAGCAGATTAATACCCTTTTTTGTTGTGGTTTTGTGTCATGTTTTATACATAACCCAGGTAGATTTATCCTATAGTCGATGACCTGTATGTGAGTTTGTATGCATTTCATTTAGAACAGATAATCTCAACTGTTTTAGGCCCCCTTACACGAGCCCGAGTTGACTATCAACCTGGGTTGGCTTGCCAGCCCGGGTCAACCCATCTACGAATAAATCTCTATTAGCGTTTACACGATAGCCGGGTCAACCTTTCACACCTCGCCAACCCGGGGCACCCTTCTCGAGTCCCGGGTCGACCCGGGTTGGCGAGGTGTGAACGCATGAAAAGTTTACTCATTTCGTCATGTAAAGCCGGGTTGGCTTGACCCGGGATCATGTAAAGTGCGGTAAATTCCTGATTGTGAACTTTTCACCTAGCGTCATATCGCATTTCAACATTTTGCGTGCGTATTTTCTCCGTCTCTGTTTAGTACAGACATATAAAATCATACAGTATGGCGAATAAAAACGGGCCAAAACCAAAAGAAAAAATGCTCAACCTGCGTTTCAGTGGTGGTCTGAAATTATTGATCACCTAATCCTTTCTCTGAAGGATTATAAGACGGAGATGAATTATAAAAATGTACATTTCAACTCCGATGTTGTCGCAATGTATTCAAAGTTGCGCGAAGGTCTGGCGTTGGCGTTCGATGTCGAATATTTTTGTCCAGTAGATCTTCCAGTGCAAAATAACGAGGAAAAAAAGGGAAGAAAACGTCTTTAAGGCAGAATTAAGTTGCTATACGTTTAAATTCTTGATAAAAAGGGATATAATCGTATACTGAAAGATATAAGCGCCAAAACTAAAAGGTATATAATCGTAACTAGGTTACCCACAGGGCAGTAATGCTGCCTTGACAGCAAAAGACAAACTACAGGGTGTTGAACGAGTCGTTCAGAAACATCCTATTATTGTTTAGCCTGCATGGCAGGCGGTTCCTAAAATTGGGCAAGCCTGGGAAATACCGCCTACCATGCAGGCTAATTATCAGTTATCCTTGTTAACCCATTTATTGACAGTACCCTACCACTGACTGAGTATTAAAAATCGTCTGGCGTTGGACAGGGTAAATACTAAAGTAGGGGTCATTACTGTGCTGATGAATTAATTAACAAGAGCCATTGGCAGATAGGTTTGTTAACCCATTTACTGGCAGTACCCTGTACCACTGACGAGTAAAATCCTCTGGCGCTCGACAAGGGAAGGGCGCATTGCCAGCTAATGGGTTAAACCACCGTGGTTAAACATAAGATTTCATGATGCTCCAGGAAATGTAAACAAGCAATCAGTGTGACATCCCAGTTTATATATTTATATACTCGGAATATTGATTTCTCGGTACATACAAAATTATTTTAAAGTATAACAACCAGCGAAGACGTAAGGCACTAACTACCCTGCGCGGCTGCGCGCAGACTATATAACGACATAATTATATATGTCATCCGTCCGGTCCGTCCGTCATTCATCCGTCCGTCCGTATCCGCGTTTTATTCTAACCCGTTTTTAAAACACAAAGTTTGCATTTAATTAAGGCAGTGCGGTTCGTCATGATCAATATTTTCAAAAGCGGCCAAATAGACCAGGGGTTAAAGGGCAATGACAATGATATGCAGGCAGTGGCGAAGCTAGCCAAAAATTGTTTGTCATGCTTCGAGCGGCGAAGGCGGGAGGCTTTCTAGGGGGGTCTGGGGGCAGCCCGCCCCGGAAAATTTTCAAAATTAGAACCCCGGAAATGCCATTTCCAGCGATTTGAGCATTGAATTCTAAGCTCCAATATGACCTTAAGAAGGGGCAAATCTTCGCAAATTTACCATATTTTTGGCAAAAATGACCAACAACCAAATTTTGCATATTCTAAAACTTCATTTGCATTCGGAGCGTAAAAAAAGAGGCGAAAAAAACTTATGCATGAAAAGACCCATTTTATCCCCATCCGTTCCGCATTTTATCTCCATATCCGTTCCATGGATCCGCTTCGTCCGCTTCCGCATTTTAACCTATGTGTGACATGTTTCATAATAACAAGTCTCATTGACCTTTGATTTATAATGTTCGCATGTATTCAATAATGTCACTTTAGATTTCAATATTTTCACAGTTATAGCAGTGTTTATAGCAGTTTTGACAAGCTTTGATACAGATAGATTCTCGCAAGATCTGATACAGTTCTCGTTGCACTGAACATAAGTTTGCGCCGTTGGCGTTGTGCTACAGTGCTAGACATGTAAACAAAGTCCGTGGCGGTGCGCGTAAATCTGTGGTGTAGCACCATATACAGTCGATGTATAATGAATATACGGTCTAAATAATGCAGTAATACATAACATCAATTTATATATTGCGTAGAATCTCAAAGATTTCCTCAATATTCATGTTTGAAATGTTTATATATTTAAAAAACAACACTGTCTCACTCCATCGTAGCTCTGTACTTGATTGAATGCCCATAATGCATAACATCAGTCTACTGTATATATTGGGTAGATTCTCAAAGATTTGCTACTGGAACTAAAAGATCTTTGTAAGAGATCAAAAATAACATCTCGTGTACTTTCACACACGCTTGGTTGAATCGGATTAATTTACATATTCATAAATCTACAATCTTTGACAATATAGATTGGGACAATCTAGTTTTCACATGCATTCGGTTGTAATATACCATTTGCTGATACATATTTTCCACCCTCCCTCCCCCCACCCGTTTCAATGTTGGCGCCGCGCATCCAGACATCAGATTTTTGTTGGCCCAACATTGAACTGGGGGAACGGGGGGCGCTATTCCTTTCAAAATATATGAAATTACAGCAGCTGTCCCATAGTTTCTGGCAAAGATTGTCTTGGTGGTGATCAATAGTGTTTGGAATTTGGTAATTAAACGTTTTAGTTTTAAGTTTATACCGCCCAATTACATATATTCCAGTATCGAAGCATATGTGGGCAACTTTTGGTAGTTTTAGATACTATCCATTCATTCCGGGGAGGGGGGTGTTATTTTTAACACTTTTTATACCAATACAGGTACGTGTGCTACTACCTACACAGTAAAAACAAATTGGTTAAAATGACCAATTTAAATTGGTTGCAACCAATTTAAATTGGTCATTTTAACCAATTGAAGAATAGGTTAGTCTGACATGACCAACTAAATATTGGTCATTTCGACCAATACATAATTGGTTGAATTTTTAACCAATTTAAAATGGTAAATTTAACCAATTTCTTTTGATCAGTCAATGTTGAATTTCCCAAAATAACAAATAAAAATTGGTCATATCCCCAACCAATTTAAAATTGGTCATATGCATAACCAATTTAAATTGGTCATCTCTATAACCAATTTTAAATTGGTCGAATCCATAACCAATTTTTAATTGGTCAAATCCCATAACCAATTGTAAATTGGTTAAATGGGTAACCAATTATTAATTGGTCAATTCCCATAACCAATTGGAAATTGGTCAAATGCATAACCAATTTTTTAATTGGTCAAATCCATAACCAATTCGAAATTGGTCAAATCAGTAACCCATTCTAAATTGGTCAAATCTGATCTGGCAGTGTTTTCTGTTATCCAATTCTGCATGTAATTTATTTCTGTAATGCATCCATACCTTTGTTGGCCTTTGTTGTTTTACTCAGTCAAACACTAGATTTTACTCGTAAAGAGAGGAGACCTTTAGTCAATACACCACAGACACAGTGTTAGTGACAGTGGCTAAACTTTGATATTGATTTTATATTTCAATTGTATTTATTTAGTTTACCTGGTCAAAATTTTGCCGTCCGAGTTAATTTTAAATTCTTCATGAGTTCATGGAAACTCTATTTACACAAAATATTTATAGTGTTTGTCGTGTGACATATAAACAGGCTAAACATGCAAACGAAAATTCTCACGATCGACGAGCGCGGTTTCGCACGGACAGGCTGGGACCTAGTTTT